GCGAGTTGCCTTATCACCAAAATTATATCTTTTTGTATATAAATTAATAAAACCCTACGAGTCACCACTTAACAATATCTACAATTTCTGTTACACAAATCAGCAGGTCTAGGTGATCTTCGCGATAATAACCCTAGCGTGACTAAAGTCAACGCATAGGGCTAAAGTCTAATGTTCCAGTTTATAAGTTCAATGGAACAAAGTTGGTCCAATTGCCCAATATCAATTATACATTATAAATAGCGATAACACTGAAATCAAGAATTTGTTGAAAAGTTGTCCGAATAAGTATCAGCAAATTTTTTATTAGTTGTTTCAAAATTTGAGAACGGCTATAATTGATGCATGTTTGGTTTTCGTTATATAATCGGAGCCAATTTTATATCGCTGGGATACTGTACAAAGTTAGGCAAATGATTGACTAACCTGTCACAGATTTTCACCAAGCTTGCTTGTGAAAATTTAAACTTTTATTCAAGCGTAAAAATAATAAATACTCTAATATCAACCGAATTTAAATAAATTTTTGGATACATATTGCATAATATTCTTAAACTAACAGTTAAAAACTTTCATTTAAAATGATATCAAATACAGTCAGGCCCCCCTGCCGGAACCAGCTCTAAAGCGTGCATTTAGGAAAGAGAATAGCCAATAATATTGCAGTATTATTATAATCACGTGGTTTAATTAATTTATTTAACATCTATATAGAATTATCTACTTTATTTACTAAGTTAACATCACTTGGGACTTTAATTAAAGTTGTAGAAGAGAGTTATGCGATTCTAATGGTAGTTAAATCGATAAATTAACTCAATATTGATTGAGATATAAGCAAAAGTATCTTCGCGACTATATAAATTTTATATTTTGAAAAGTTTATATAGTCTCGAAGATACTCTTGCTCATATCTTGGTCAATACTGGATCAATTTTAGCGATTTAAGTACTATTAATTTAAAAACTATAACTTCACATAATTTATTTTTTTTTAAAGTTGAAATATGCCATGTTATTTTCTATTTGAATTTTCGGCCTTTCTGATTCAATTCTTTTAAATAAATAAGTTAGCAACGTTATTTTAATAGAACAAAATAAACTTATTAATTTTAAACCTTACCTTGATGGCATATCAAATTTGATTTCGAGTTTAAATGGTAAATTTCTTCTTATTAAAGTTCCTATATTTGATTTGTAACTCAATGGAATATTGATTGTTACAATTTTGCAATTAGGATCAATAAATACATCAATTTCTTCATCAGATGTGATCGTAAAGGCAAAGGTCTCGATTATATAATAATCACTTAAAGAAAAAGTAATATTAAAATAAATTTAAAACTCTGTCATTGTTAAAAATAATTATTCGTTCATTATTACCTTGAGTCATATAAATTGTAGAAAGTTTTATGCATTATTAGCTGTAGTTCTTGCTTTTCAAGTTTTTGTAATTTAGCAATAAAATCTTGGTTTTCATACTCCCGCAATTTAATAATAATATCATTGTCTGATTCAGAAATTGCATTCTCTTCTTGATTTACCAGCTCTTGAAGTTTTGTGCTAACATTATCTTCTCGTTTTTCAAATTTAGTAACTGCATTCTCTTCTTGCACCTTGGATTTCTGCAATTCAACAATTGCATCAACCGCATCATTTTTTATTTCAGCCACTGTGTCTTCTTGTTTCGCCAATTCATTAGGATTAGCAGCCGTAACTTTTTCTTTCTCCTCAAGTTCTTGCAGTTTAGCAGCTGCATATTCATGATTAAAGTTATGTGCAGCTTTCAACATACTG